GTATTATTGAGCCTCGAGGACTCGTTTACAAGAGAAGATGTTTCGCTCCTCATCCGAGGAGCTTTCTCAATTGAGAATCTTCACCAACATAGATGAAGTATCGACAGCAATAAACATTCATATAAAAGCATAAAAAATGAAAAGTAAATAAAAGAAGTGATATAAAAATGAAACAAAAACAGCTACATTATAAAGTGATGTAAAACACTAAAAAGAGGAACACGTCTGCGTTGGTTTTTGCTGTGAAGTTAACAGTTGTTTAAAATCTCTTAGAGAGGTCAAAGTCGAGAACTTCAGACTTTTAGTCATGATCCATATCTCAAGACTGTAGGGATACATGGAAAGACAGAACAGTAAAAAGAGAACTTCCTTTTCACCATAACAGACTTAGAGCACACCACCATTACTGTTGATAAGGCTTCAATCTGTTGATCCATCTCTTGCTCCATCCACCATCCCCTGTGGACAGGACTCCCACATATTTGAACTCTACAGCAGAAGGCAAAGACTCACCACAAACCTAAAAATGGTGTCTGAGATGTAGTCAGACACTGGCAGAGCTGCCGTTGACAGACATTTACAGATCTGCTTTAGAGCCATGAGGTGTGGGCTTCAATGCTTAAGAATCCCCCAGTGACTAATAGATGTTCAGTGTTCCTGACTCTACACTCCAGCCATAAACCTTGTCCTGCTCTACCATGCTTTACCCCAGTCAGTGAGACCTGAGAATCTCTGCCAACATCTTACAAAAAAAGTAAGAGCTTGCAGATGTTGCCTGTCTTGTTCTCAGTGATTATTGCTTGGTCTTTGACAGAGTAGCAGAGTAAATGTGTCAAACATTTCAATGCACTGACTGAGGAAGCAGCTGCTCAATGACCGCCAATTATGGTAATGAGCGTTTTTGTGGCTTTTCAGTATACAGTATACAATTCTCCTGAACGTTTGCAAGTTTCTAGGGAATCAATACCTGCTGGAGCAGAACTTCAAATCTAACTCATTTGAATCATTCTGCAACCATAAAGTAAATAATGAGAAAATCTATGACTCAGAGGGTATTAATTTGTCAGAAATGTGCCCTTCAAGACACGTCCCAGAGAGATGGGATCAGGCTGTGTGTGGTCCAAACACTGTTTTCCTACAAAACACTAACAAGGAACAAGCATGCTGCAGACAGTCCTCTCATTATTGTTCATTCTTCCTCCACCTGAGCAGGATGTAAATGGGAATGCTTTACATCATTTCTCCCTTTTAACTGATGCGCACAAACAAACCAAAAAGTGATGACATCGTTTTCTGTGGCAATCTCTCCAGCAAAACAACTGGGCACAAATAAAGAAAAGCTTTTTTTTTCTTTGCTGGAATGTAGAGATAACAAGAAGGAACAAACAGCAATGAATTTCTCCATCCCCTTTTCCATTAGTACCTTTAGTACCGGTACAGCACGGTTCTACTCTGCTCAGTACGGTACACGTTGTTTCCATTATGCTTTCAGTACCGGTTCCAGTGGGCGGGTTCAAATTGACTCACGAACCTCACCAGCTGGTGGTGTTAAGACCCTGAAACAGGTTTCAGTACAGGATGAGGATTTATTTTAAAGTTTCTGGTAAAATAAAAGAATACATGTTTTTAAAATTATCAAATTAAACTGATATATGATATACTAATAAATATATACACATA